CAAGCAGGAATCTTCATGCAGGGAGCCAAATCCTACTTAGAGAAATGCATTTCTATGAACACTCTGGTGCCTTACAGGTGCTTCAAACGCAGCTTCCCTGGCATCTCCAGGTCCACTTACTACAACTGGCGAAGAAAAGCAATCAAGGAGAACCCCAACTTCAAACACCCCCAGTCACCATTGGATAACCAGAAAACTCTACCTATAGGAAAGCCATTCCTGCAGTTGAAGCCAAACAGCGTGCCTGTTAGGAAGAGACGAAATGGAGACCGGCCAGCGCCCAGGAGTCTCCTGCAGCTCAAGCCTTCTCTGTGCTGGAGAATGCAGTTGCGAGATGTGGCCAGGAGGCAGGTCCAGCAATGGCAGCTGCCGTTCTGCAAGTACCGCTTGCGCTACCCATCTCTCTCCTCCACAGCCTACTGGTTTTGGAAGGGCAGTGGCAAGGCTATTGGGCAGCATCGCCTGCCCTGGACTAGCTCCAGCCAGCCATTGAACCGTGTGGCTTCCCTGGTGCCTCCGAGAGTGGAGCCAGGCCTCAAGCCCCAGTGCCGAGTGGAGGGAGCCACCAAGCACATAGATAAGCCAGTGCCTGCCATCCCGTGCAACACTACCATTTCGGGCTATGCCATGTCAGACAGAGCCAACAGCCGCATGTTTGTGATGGATGTGATTGCCACTGCCCAGTTCAAGGCACAGGCCAAGCTGTTCCTGCAGCAGCGCTTTGAGTCGAAGAACTTCCCAACCTACAAGGAGTTCAGTGCCCGCTTCCCACTCACAGCCCGTTCCACCTATTACATGTGGAAGCGTGCCCTGCATGATGGGCTGACGCTGGTGGATGCCTGAGTGCCAGTTGCCAGCTGGCTTGGCCACAGCTCCTCTGCTGATGTGCCCTTTGGCTTTCTGGTGGGGTGTCTGGGCTGGGGCCTCACTCTAACTTTTGTTCTGGTTTTGTGTTATTTTGTTCCTAGTCTCTGGCTTTATTTTCTGTGTGGTTCAATCAGGTATGCGAGCATTCTCACAGCGCCTATTCCCAGAGACTGGAAGAATGGAAGGAGAAGGCGCTGAGCTGCCCCAAAGGGAGAGGGGCCAGGAAGTTGTTCTCCCTCTTTTTTGCGCTCAGAGGATGAGCAAGGGAGGCAGTAGTGTGTCGGTGTCGCGAGATGCTGCTGGACCTCTTGAGATGGAGGATGTGAAGGCCTCTCTGCCCCGGGCAGTGCCTTGAATGAGTAATGTGGAGGTGCCCAGCATGTCCTCAATGAGCAGAGTAGTGCTGGCTCAGCTATGGGTGAGGAGGGGCTTGGGGAGTGCTCAGCTTTATGCAAGAAGCATCTTTGCTCTGGGTTCTTCCCAGCTAAGGAGAATAAAAGCTTCACTTGGGGTCAGTGCTGATGCCACTTGGTTTTCTGGCTCTTAATACCTGCCTTGGGTTGTTCTGATCTTTCCTAGAGGAGCAGAGGTTGGTAGCAATAACCTTTTACACAAACCTTTACTTCCTGAGCTGGCAGCTGCCATACTTTTCTAGGGTCTCTCTTCCCTGGTGCCTGGGAGAAGTCAGAGAGACTGAAACTTCTGTGCCCAGTGTCCTTGCATCCCCTGTGCTGTGCTGCAAGCAACATGGTTTTCTTCTAGCAGCAAGTCTGGGTGCATATATCTCACTTGTAAGAAACCAAAGCAATAAAGACTCTTCTACTCTTAGTCCTGTGTGGTTTCTAACTCATGCTGTGTGATTTCTAGGCAAGGCTTTCCCTTCCCTGTCTGCTTTCTAAAACTGTCTTGTGGGCAGGGAGAGACTGTGCACACCTCAGTCCCTGCTTCTGAGAAGGTCCTCTTCTGCTTCTTGAGCCCTGGGGACAATCTGCTGTTTGATGGCACTCTGAAGACCTGGTTGGAGCTGTGGTCTCCCTGGTAAGGGGCCAAGGCTTGCCTCCCAGATCAGATGCAAGGCTGGAGATGAATGAGTGGGCACAGGCCTATGTGATAGCAGGGATACAGTGGCAATGTCTGAGATGCTGGTGGTCCTGCCCTGAAGTGGTGCTGTACTGGGAGGCTGAAACCAGCTGTTTGCACCTCTGCCCTGTGAGCATCTTGGGGTGCAAAGTCTCTGCCTGACTCCAGAAAGCCTCATCCCCTTAGTGTGTGTGTTTTCCTATGGTGTCTGCCAGCATGGCTGTGTGAGACTAAACTGTAGGAGGTCTGGGGCTGGCTGCTGCCATTGAGGTTTGTGGTAACAATTGCAGTACCTGCTCTTGTTTCCTTGGAAGCTACCAGGAGTCAGAGCAACCTACAGATGTGAGGAGAGAGCTTCCTGAGGCCTGTATTTACAAGGTCAGCCCCTGAGGCTGAGTTGGCAGACCTGAGTCTTTTTTTTTTTATCCTCAGGGTCTTTGCAGAGGCATTAGGAGCTCTGGTGACCTTGTTAGAGTTGAGATGCTATAACACATGTTGTGGTGTGTCTGTTCCCCATCTGTCCTCCTCCCCCCAGTCTTGCTCACAAATAACTTGTTTTTCCTTCTTCAAGATGTCTGGAACCTCTCACTGACTGCTGCAGCCCAGTCGTGCTCCTGACATAGTCTGGGTTCGCTCCCTGTGAGCCTCCTAGGCAGAGGGGCCCTATGCTAAGAAGTGTGGCTGAATTTTCCTCTGTAGTAGCCTGCAGGAGAAAGGGGTGCTCAGGGTTGTCCTGTGGTGTTCTTGGGTTTGAGCTGTGAGGTGGGGCAGCGCAGGAGGAGCAGCATTGAGCCACCATCTGGGGCATCTCTTAAACCATTTAGTTCCTTGTCCTTAGTGATGGTGGGATCTCACCACCATCCATACATTCCAGCAATACCCTGTGTGGTCCCACAGGAGGGGTTCTGGGGCAGGGGTGCTGTGGGAAGGGAAGCACATGGGGAGCAAGGGAAGCAGGGAGCTGCCAAGCACTGCTATGTACTACTGCAGAGAGCCCTGGGCTCTGTGTGTCAGGAAGTAATTGGAGTAATTAGCTGCCAGGGAGGACTCATCTATGAACTCCTCTAAGGGAGTGATCTGGTAATTACTCCAGAAAGATTACCTGCGTCTCCAAACTGCTGGAGGCTGGAGACAGCTGCTTTCAGTGGCAGCGGTGGCTGCAGCAGCACCTTTGAAGGTGGACACAAGACCCCCAAGAGTGTTCCCTTCCTTATCTGAACCAAAGGAAGCAGCAGGGAAAGTGAGTTTTCTGCCTGTGGGTGCTGACAGAGGTTCATGTGGGTGGCACTGAAGCTGGGGCAGACTGTGTCTGGCAGCAGGGCTGGAGCATCCATTAGCATGCCATAGCACAGTGGGTGGCGGTCAGCTGCTGCTGGAGACAGCTGGGCATCAGTAGAGCCTGGGGGAAGCCTGTGTTGTGGGACCCAGTGCTCTGCAGGGTGCAAGAAAGGCTTCTCCTGCTTCCCATCACCAAACTTTCCCTTAACTGGGAGTGCTGCAAGCATCACACCTGGGCAGTTGCAGGATGAATCTCTTCTGGGTGCTGGTCTTGGGCTCCCACCCCTTGCAAGATGTTTTTTGGAAGTCCTAGTGAAGAGATTTAGGTGTGATGGATTTTCTGGCCTTAGTTGGATGCCTGGGGGAGGGGGGGGGGGAGGAGGGAGGGGCATGGTAGGAAAATAATACTCATCCCTGTGAGGGATTTTACAAGTGCCTCAAGTGCCTTTATGTTTCTCCCTCCTTATGCCTTGATGGCAGCAGGCCATGGTGGGGCACTGCCACCATGGCATCACCTAAACAGTGGGTGTTCATTATTTATTGATGTGGTTTGTGGCTGAGCAGAGCTTAAATGGGGGGGAAATTGTTGCACTTGATTTGTACATGTCATGCTGCTCTCATGTTGAGCTGGTGGTGGGAGATGAATTTGAGGCAGCCTCAGCTGCTCCACATCCAGATACTGGATGGTAAATCTCTCTCTTTGCATGTGTGCAGTGAAGTTTAGCTCAGGTGCCACCTAAACTTCCTCACACAGAGGTGCTTACAGCGCTGATCCCAGAAAAGATGAAAATTAAAAGGTGACTGAAAAGCAAAGGCTGGGGGGCTGCAAAGCACTTGGGCAGCAGCCTGCCACCTACCTGCAATTTAGGGCTCTGCTCTGCCACTAATGCACCCAATTCGTGTCCGTGGGAGGGGGTTTGCAGTTGCAGAAGGTGGCCAGTGCAGCGCAGCGGAATAGTTGATTATGCCCAAGCACTGAGCTGGTATGTGTTAGCTCAAGCATGACTTTGCCTCCAGATTTTGCACAGGCAGTTGGTTTGTTGGTCTTAAAAGCATCTCAGGGTGGCAAAAGGGTTACAGTTCTCAAGATAGCTCCTGTGCTTTGCTGGGAGCAGCGCACTTGTAGATGTATTCCCCAAATATCCCTATGCCTGGACACTGCTTGGTCAAGGACTGGGGAGGGGGCTGTGCTAGGATAGACTTTGGCACCAAAAGGGACAGATGAGCAATGGAGGGTGATGCCAACACCCTCCAGTGTGTCACCCCTCCAGTGGCATCACAGCAAGCCCCATGGCTCCCCGCTGGCCATGGGGACAGCATCTGCCTTATTCTCAGCAAGGTGTGCCCTCTTGACACCACTTGTCCTCTTGCCCCGTGGGGACAGCTCAACCCCAGCAGTGTGTTCCTGCACCTGTGGCTACTGGAGGCTGTAGAAGAGTGAGCCAGTGCCTACATCTGCAGGGAGAGGAGAGGTAATAAGCTTCCTGATTTCCCAGCAGCTGATGCCTGAGTAATGGCTCTTAATTGGCTTCTCTCTGCAAAAATCCTCTCCTGGCAGCCCCAGGAGAGATGGCATTGCCACAGGCTGTGCCTCCCCATGCTCTCTCCACTGCAGGCTGTTTTGAGGAAGCAAAGAGGAAAGGATAAGCTAACTGAAGAGATGCACTAATAAATGATTTTTAATTTTTTGGGGGCAGAAATAGAAGACGCCCTGTCTCAGATAATTAGCTATTTCCTTACTGGGTTACTGTGAAGGGAAAACACTGACTATGCCATTCAGTGAGCCAAAGGACTTACTCTGCTTTTATTTCCCAGTGTCTCTTCTCACCAGCCTCCAGAGGACAGATGGGGGGAGAACTGAGGCATTTCTGTCCCATCAGCATGGTTACAATCCCATCCCACTGACATGTGCTGCTCAGAGAGCAGGTGGTAGCTTTGCCACTGCAAGGGGCTTTGTCCTCCCAGGCAGTGAAGGTGCAGGAAGTGCAGCAGGAAGGATACCTCATGTCCAACCTTTGTGGTTTCCACATAACCCACCTTGGGGCTGACCACAAAGAGAGCAGGTGAGGAGGCTGGGAGGACAAGTGAATCTCTTTGTCTGGGGACAGGGGCCCACAGGGGTCTTGTCTCCCCCACAAACCACACCGGCTTCTTTCCCCTTCTCCTCCATTCTATCACCTCATCCCTGAGGGAAGAGGAGCAAGATCCAGTAGGGTCCCATCCCAGCATCCCTTGTTAGCACTCCCCAGGCCCCATTTGTAGCCAGTGGCCCCATTCTGGCATGCCACAGCACTTGCCAAGGGGCGAGCAGTGTGAGCAGAGCTGGGGGAAGCAGGTGGCAGCTCAGATGCGTTGGTTGCTCAGATCTGCACTGAGGTGCTGGTGGTTTTTTCCTTGGTAGCTTTCTTCTTGTCTGTATCCCAGAAGGAGGCAAGATTCAAAGGCCACCCCCACCCTTGGTACAGACTCCACCCTGTCGTTAGCTGTTTCTGAAGAGAAAGGCCTCCTGGGAAGTGCTCACCTTGACAGAAGAAGCCCAAGATGGAAGAGTGTGTTTTCCGCTGCTGGCAAAAGAAACCAAATCCCAGTGCACTTCAGACACTGCTGTTCTGAACTCCTGGCTGAGTGAGGAACATCTCCAAGACAGGGGAGGAATGGAGGGCATGTTCAACCAACCCAGGGAATGGGTCTGGCTTGGTCCCCAAGGTCTTGTCCTCACAGCAGGGAGGGCATCTGGGACACCTGGTCGTGATACTTCTTGCAACCCAAAATCCAGTGTATGAGGCAAGAGAGGGGGGTTTGGGCACAGATTTGGGGAGATGGGGAGTGAATGAGCTTTCTGGTGACTTTCTGTGTCTGTTTCTTGGTGTTACTGCCTTAGGACAATGGCTGGGAGTACTGGTGGGGAGACCGGCCCAGGACATGGTCATTTAGGGAGCAGTGGGCAGGAGAGCAATGGGACAGGGTTGCTGGGGCCAGGGTTGCAGGACCACATCTGTGCTGGGGGTGCTGGACAGCACAGGGACAGGCACCCGCAGCCAGATGGTGGGGAACTCACCCACCACTCAGTTGCAAAGAGATATCCTAATTATGAAGAACACATTATTCATGAATAGAGGAGTTATTCTAATATGTCATGGGACTCTTCAGCACCTCATGATTATTTTTTAAAAAGGATACAGGGAAGGACAGCAGGTTGTGGTGTACACTCTTGTAAGATATCACTGTTTAATTGACCCTCCTCCACCTCCTTCTCAGAGAACCCCAAATCCTCCCTCATCAGCCACCAGAAATCTCACTTCCCCATTGCCCCTTTGCACAGGCACAGATGGTCTCTGCACTCGCTGCCCTTTGCATCGCCTCCTAGAGCTGTGACCTGCCAGGCTCCCTTCTCCTTTCTGGGCTAGACGTGTTTCCAGGCCAGGACTTGAAGCTATTCCTCCTTTGCCCCTCCTACCCTCCTTTGCATTTCTGAGTATTCCCTCTGAGATCAGGACCATTACAGGGCTCTGCAGTAGGGCTGGGGGTGCCGGTTGGGAGAGGGACCCCTTTTCCGGGAGGACAGGAGGGAGGGGGTGAAGAGACACCTCTTCCACAGCCACTGGCATGGTTTAGTTTAACCTTTTTTTTAAGCTTAATGAAATTTCTGGAGCTTGTGTGTTCCTTTGCTGTGTCTTGTTGCCTTTTTGCCTCCTTCCCTTCTGCTCAGGTGGCTGCAGCAACGCTGTGAGTCTGTAATAAGTTATTCAGCAGCGATCTCCATGCTGGTCCTCAGATTTCAATTTCCACTTTTCCCTTCAGGCTGTTTCTGACTAATTTCTCCATTTGCATAATGTCCCCCTTACACATGCTCTGGCACAGCCCCTTCTCCTCTTCCCCACCCCCAAGGTCATCAGAGATTCAGGCTATTAGTGGAAAATACTTTAATTCTGTTGGCCCTTTGGCCTTGTCCTTCCCCAGGCATCTCCAATTAAAAAAAGTCAAAGAAGTAATTTGGGGGGCAGGGGCACAGGCTGCCCATGGGGAGTGGGCTGGGGGCTGCTGACCCCACCCCCACCCATGGCAGCCCTGGAGGAATCCAGTTGGAAGAATTACAAATGCACAGGTAAATGCAGTTTCTTACTGTAGATTTTGGTCTAGCAGCCCCAATGATTTTGTCTGGACCAGAATTGGTGGGAAGCCTCCACCCCTGCCCCCCAGCTGGGGGTGCTTGAAGGGGATAGACAAGGAGGGCTTTAGCTGGGACAGCAATGAGCTGGGGCTTGCAGGGCTGGTCGCCCTGGCTGCATGGGTACCCACAGACATCCCCTCTCTGAAATAGTGCTCTTGTCTTGCTTGGTTATTTGGAGGGATGGACAGCCAGGATGGCTGAGCACATGCAGGACAGGGCAATGAAAACTGTCACTCAACTGCTGGGTGAGTCTGCCCCTTATCCCTCCTCTCTAAGCCACCTCATCTCTTTTGGACACCCCAGCCCTTCCCTGCAAATTCTGTCTCTGTCCACCATCAGAAGCAAGATCTGCTTGTTCCCTCCTATGTCTGTATTCTTTTGCCCCTCTTCAAGCACATTTTATTTTATGCTTCTGCTATACACACAGTAGCCAGAACACACACATTGCTCCAGTCTCTCTCTCCCTAATTCTCGTCCCTTCCACACAGGGAAAACAGCCTACACCACCGTCCCGCTCTCAGTGTTAGTTGCTCACCGTGATCTACATTGAAATACATCTCCCTCCAAGTTGCCCAGACACTGGCTAGATTATAACTTCCTTTGGGAACAGCATAAACACCTCCAGGTTTAAGTAAGCGTGGCACTCCTGCAAAGCTCACCTCTTTGCTAGCCAGCTCCACATTCTTATAAAGAGACTTTTCTCCTGCTTTTTTTATTAGCTCTTCCATGTTATAAAACGTAATGGGAAGTTTCAGATCAGCTTCTGTACAGGTCTCTGATGCGCTTCTCTCTTTTATGGCTCAAGTACAACAGCAATTGCAGACATTAACATGCTTCTTTAGTATGAAATGTACATTTGAATGGCACCCAGCTGGAGGAACATGTTGTGCCTCTTGCAAAGCTGGCTGCAGCCTGCCCAGAAACCTTGGGAAGGGGGTGAGGGGTGCCCAGAGTGTGCCTGCAGTCCCCTGCACATGAGGGAAAGAGGCAACAGGGGAGCCATGGCCAGGGAGAGGGGGGATGGTCAAGGTGGATGCTGGTGAGGCATAGCCTCTTAATGCCTTTTTGGGGCAGCCATTGCCTGCATACCCACCTCTGAAGTACTTAACATGTCTCTGACAATATACAAGTAAGCAAAAGGAAGATGTATGTGGGGATGCTGGAGATTTCCTTGTCAGCAGAGGCTTTAGGAAGGATGGAGATATCCCTCTCCAAGGCATGGGAAGGAGTGTGTTGGGGTCACCCCCTGTGTCTTGGGCTCCCTCCATGTCTCTTCCTTCTCTGGATCTCATCCCCTTGCAAACAGCACTCCCACCTCAGACTCTGCATGTGATGTCAGCCTTTTCTTTCCATCCTTCTTTGTGTGCAGGGCCCTGACCTCGTGCCAAGAGTAGAATCCTTCAGGCCCTCACCCCTCCCAGGTCACTTCTTGAGTAGAGATTTCAATTACAAGTCTTTTTAGGGCCCAGCACTCTGAGATGGCAACTGTATGGGGGCTCAGACGTGGGATCATCATGACAGTCATTATTAACATGGAGAAAACATTGCTGTCTTTACCAGCCTGCACCAGGAACGGAAGAGATGTTGTGCAACCACCAGCCTGCCTTCCTCCTTGCTTCTGGGATGGGCCAGCAACTGGGATTTTTCCTGTGGATCAGGGATCTGATGTGTAGAGCAGAGGGATGTGTAGAGCATGCCCTTTGGTCTTGTTCATGCTCTGTCCTCCTACTTCACTGCATCTGAGGAGCCAGGTGCCACCCCGTGGTGCTGAAGTGAGAATCCTGTCCCCATCACAGGAGTCTGGAGACCCCACCAGGACTCGGGCCTCCTGGAAGAAACAGCGGTCATTCTCTGGCCTCATATCCCCTCTCCTCCCTGTGTGCCCTCTTCATGGGCCAAGCTTGGGCACCAGCAATGGCTCTCCCAGCTACAGGGCTGAGAAGGGAAGCTGTGGCCCCAGATGAGGGGTGGTGGCACCAGCCCAGCAGCAGCATGCACATCTTCCATCAGGCAAATGTGCTCCTCCTGGTCCCAGCAGCCAGACTGGTTCTCAATTCCCTGTTGTTGGATGGTGGCACACTGCAGCCTTGGAGAGAACAGGGATTTACTGTTTCTCTGAAAGGAGAAAAAACCTACATAGTGCATCCATGCCGGGGTCTGGCTGTGCAAGCAGCCTTTGCAGGCACTGGTGCTCTGTGCTCCACAGGAAAGCTCAATCCCAGGAGGGCCCCAGCCAGGGACGGCAGTGACATGCAGGTGGCAGCTATACATGGCCCCCTTTTGAGAGGTAAGCAATCAGTGCTACCACCACCCCGATGTACACTCCTGTGCCGATGGTTATGGAGAGCGCGGCAAGGAAGAGAGCTCGGCGGGAAGCTGAACTGGCCAGATGGAAATCTCCTTTGGAGACAGCCTTGCTGGTCTGGAAGGAGAAGAAATGCTTGTTGCTCACAGCTGTATCAACCTGGCCTTTTACTCACCATGCAATTGTTTCACTACTGAGTCAGTCTCCCTTCCCTGGTCACTGTCCCATGGCAACTGGGAACAGACAGCACGGTGTTTGCCAGTCGGGGAGGGCTCAGAACAGCAGTGCCACCTACACACATTTCCCTGTGGATTTTGCCTCCAAGGGAAGCGTGGGCTTCAGCTGCTTGTCTGAAAGCACCCATCTGGGCACTGAGCCAGAGCTGTGAGCGGGAGGCTGGACCCTCGTAAGAGCAGGCAAATGGTTGGTGCTTGGGGTGATTGCTGCGTGGCACTGACTAGATACCAGTATACCCTGTACAGATATGTACTGAGTACTGCCTAGTCTCAGGGAGTTGGCTCCAGACAGCGTGGTCCATTGGTATGGCTCTGCTGCCACCTGGTTTTTCGTGTGTGGGGTTTTTGGTTGAAGCCTATTTGCTATAGAAGGGCTGATGGAGCCAGCAGTGGAGACAGATGTGGGTGTTGGTTCTCTGTGATGGCAACTTCCAGCTTCTCTAAGTGCTCAGGGCACATTCTAAGTGCTCTTATTATTACCTACTACTTGTATTCAAGTTGCCACATGGAGATCACTGTGCACAGACATCAAATAAAGAGATGGTCCTTGCCTCAGTGAGTGAACAAAAGGGGTAGTTATAGCAAATGGAGCTAGATATAAATTGCCCCATGTACATCATCACATGGAGAGTGCACTGTGCTATATTGCACCACGTGGAAAAATGTGAAATCAACTGCTCCTTGGGTTCCTAATCAATTAATGCTTCCCCTGTCTCTCACCATCTCTGTGCCAGGCACTCATATAATACACTTTTCCATTTCTGTTCCTATTCTCTCGATTTAACTTCTTAATACCTCCCCCCACCTATTCTTTGTACAGAAGCATCTGTGCAAATGTGGAGTAAATCCCCTAGCTCTGCATGAATTATTCTGGGTCAACACTAAGTAAGTGAGCCAAGGCTAAGCCCTCAAGAAGGCAGCAGCTCCTCTGAGCTGGTGCAGCCAGAGGGCCACCTCCCTCTCCAGCCTCTGCCAGCCTGGCATTGGCTCCCATAGCTTAGCCAATGTGCATCAGAAACAAGTACAAGAGAGGAACTGTAGTGTGATATGGACACCAGGATCTCCTTTGTGGCCAATTTCCAGAGCAGCCTGGTTCCTATGGCATGAGCTGCCTCAATCTGGGTCATGGTGTAGAACCTCCGCTCTACTGGAGAGTGGGAGGACAGGTGGGAAAATGCCAGAGTGAGAAGCTGGGCAAAGGGCCAAGAGCAACTCCAGTTCCCTAAATAACACCCAGAAGACCCAAAGGAAAAGCCTGACCCCCAGTAACCCACACCAGAGCTGGAGGGCTTGCAACCCCGCAACAACTGTGGAGACAGCCTCAGAGTTATGGCCGTGGCACAGAGATGAGCCTTAGATCCAGAAAGGTGCCGGCCACCTCCCGGTGTGGCTTGCAGGGCCCTCCAGGTGTGACTGCTGTGGCTTGCAGGGCCCTTGCTCCAGTGCTCAGCACACACAGGCAAGCAACAAGATCTCTTACCCCTTGGGAGAAGTAGAAAGCAGCAATCCCCAGGGGCCAGAAGCAACACAGCATGGAGAAAAGGGCCAAACCCAGGTGGTCCCTGGGGGGAAGCATCAGGAAATGATCCTCGCTTTCGCTGTCGCTGGAGGAGTCGCTCTGAAAAACAAGATGAATTCAGCACATCCCCACCTCCCTGTGCCTCACTATCGGCTGCATCTCAGCCCCTCACCTCCCAGCTTCTGCTCTCTCCTGGCCCTATCACATATTTTCATATGATTCCCACCAGCAAATTCAAGAAGTAAATTTTAAAAATATTTTAGACTCTTCAGCGTGGTTTAATGAAGAACAAGGTAGCTCAGCAAATTCAAAAGTGGAATGGATTCTTGGCTCCCTGCCAGAGCAAATGCTGAGCTCACTTGCTGGGGGTCTGGGATTTCCCTGCATTAGAGAGAGTCTTAAACTGAAATATCTTCAGCTTTGGCAGAACTGACTGTTTGTCAGCTTAAACAAAGTTAAACAAAGTGCCTTATCCCCATTAGAGACTAGGAGATCAATATCCTGCTAAACTAATTTAGGAAGTGAGGGAAAGCAGTTGAATTGGAGCTTCCATTGCAGGGGCAACATGCCCTCTCCCCCCAGTAAGTACATTGCTCAGTGGCTGCAGTCAACACTCCTGCCTTTGGGCACAACTTGGCCAGCCTCAGACCACCCTAGAAGTGATTTGCCTCAGTAGGGAAGGCATGCAGAGGTGGGGACACCTCTGATGCCATCTGAAAAGGCCACATCACCAACACCAAAAGCAGCAGAGCTGTGCTGGGTCATCAGACATCAGCTCCAGTGGGCTCCGGGGACCCACTTCCACCTCTCAAGGTCCTGGACAATGTTCCTAGCCTTGGCACCATTGCTCAAGCCATGGTGGGGCACAGCACAGCAATGAGGCTGCTTTGTTAGCTCTCATTCTTCCTTTGCAGGATTCATCCTGTCTTTATATATAAGCTTTTTCTCAGCTGCTGCCATCAGGCATATGAATTTTGCTGTTATGCAAGAACTGCTGCTTCTCCTCAGCTCAAGTGCCACAGCAGCAGCAGGCTGCCCTTGTCAAAGGGTCCCCATATCCCAAGGGTTCTGCAGAGACCCACCTCCCTTTTGCTCCCAGCAGCCTGCAGGCGGGCTGCTCTTAGGGAACCTGACCTCTTTCTGAGGTCAGCACTGAGGGAAAAGGAGCAGAAATGATAGGGAGAAAGAAGAAATACTGGGTGCACAGGGAGACTGATGAGGCAGGAGATGGTAGGGTGTGGGGGGAGCTCTGGGTAAAAATGGGAGAATAAATTACCGAGAATTTGAGCCCATGTTCCGAATTACCACAGGAGTTCAGTGCCATCCCACCTGGCAAAGCTCACCTCGTACTCCTGGAGCTCATCTTCCTCCACCTCATAGGACACAGTTTGGATGCGGATGTCACTCTCTACCAGGCAGGACCCTTGCGCCTCGTGCCTTTCAGGAGCTTCGGATGGAGCCTCTTTGCTTTCTGTAAAAGTGGTTTCACAGCTTTCTGTTTTGCTGTCCTTGGCCTTGAGAGTGGTCTCATCCTTCACAAGGATGAAACTGGGGCCGTACAAGGCTTCAACAGCCAGCTGCAGGGAACTGGCATCCAGCAGCTGGTGAGTCCTGGCACTGCCAGCGTTTTGGAAGATGTAGGAATACAGTTTCCCTTGGCAGTGATGACTGGAGTAGTCCTGGCTGTGATGCTGGTGGTAAGAATAGCTGCTGCGAAGGTGTCCGTTGGCCTTGGCCAAGAGTGGGTTTTGCAGCTCACGCACACTCTCCATGCTGTTGGTGGTAGGGGGGAAGAGATCCTGCAGGAGCAGAGGCGGTAGAAGGGAAGAGGCTGTTATTACAGCAAGGCAAGGGAGCAGAAAAGCCTCTCACCCATGCAGAGCCGATGTCGAGATGAGGCTAGTGGGAACAGAAAATATTGGCAATAATGGAGAAAACAAGAGTCCTCCCCACCTCTGCACAGCTTGAATGCTATCTCAGCAAACAGAGCATCTCTTCGTCTCTCCCCTGCTGGTACTAAGATAAGGATGCAGCCCTGCAACAAGATGATCTGATTCAGGCTGGATTAAGATGAGGATTTGGTGTATCTATAATGCATCTTGGGTTGGCCACGTGCAGCCTGACAGGAAAGGACCTACTTCATCTTTTCTGATGGTTCATAATGTGTGCTGCCTAACAGACAGCACAGAAGTAGTTAAGAGACTGACAGTCACTCAAGGGGCCTCCCTGACTTCCCAAAGCAGAGGGCTGCACAGTGAATTACAGCCCTCTGGAGATTACACATACACCTAACTGACTTGCAGGTAGATGGGAGGTTCTCTAGGGCTCCTCCAAGGTTGAGCTGCAGCTGGGGCAAGAGCAGTGAGCCACCAAGGGAAGGCAGGGGGCTGCTGTGAGGACATGGAGGTGGTGTTTAGGCTTGGGTGGGAGTGTTGGATGCTCAGCCAGCCATGAGGAGGAACGAAGAGATGCGAGATTAAAGGGGAGATCCCAGGGGGCTTGGTCCACTTTGAAATGATGACATTCTAAGTAAATGATCCATCACATCAAAGCAGCTCCACCCTTGGGTACCGCAGCAGCGGTACAGCCTTGGCTCTGGGCCACCAGCTTCAGAAAATTCTGAGTCCAAACAGGATCCTCAGCTACAAATGTCAACATGGGTTTATTCCTTGGGGAAATTCACCTCCCTCTCCCTTCCTCCATTTCAGAGTGTCAAAACCTTGTGCTGCTTTTTTTTTTTACCCATGAAAATTTCTGTGATTAAATATTTCCACCCCTTTTCTTCAGAGGAGCATTTGCTATTTTGGCTTCCCAACCCACCTTGGCACAAAGAAAACGTGCAGTGAAATATCAGTGTTCCCCAGGAGAGAGAAACAATTACTTTGTGCTCTTCAGTACCCGAGCCCTGCATTTTATGGTCTCTCTCTAGCACTTTCCCGGCTCCTAGAGACCATGCCACCTTATTGCCTTGCAACCCCAAATGTTCCTGTCCTTCTTAGAGATCTCAGTCACTGAGTCCTCTGCAGGATGCTGTGTAGCAGAGGCACATTTCCTCCTGCTATAGGATTCCCCAAGGTGCACTAGGCTTTCTGATAGACAGCACATCACCTTGGCTTTAAATCTGTCCTCAAGGAGGAAATAAAAGTAAAGAAGTTGGAGTTGAAGATCCCAGAGAGTGAAAAGCTCAAGTGGTCCCTTGGCCAAACTCTGCCATGCCATGCAGGTTTGGGGGCCATACATGGTTTTAAATGGACCTGTCCATGGGCTTTGTTCTGGCAGTGGTCATCACATTTTAGAAAGCTGTAATGGAAAATGGAGCTGTTCTGCTAAAACTGTGTGTTTTGGTGAATGCCCTCCACTTCTCCCTCCCCAAAACCATTCTCTGCCTTCTGCAGTCTCCCACCTTACTAATAAAGCCTGTAATGGCTTGTGCAGCAGATGGCTGTTAAGTATTTTGAAAATATTTAAGAGAGATGCATATTTGTATCAAAGGTGGTTTTATTTCTACGCAGACCCAGAGAAGCTCAAAGCTTCATCCCCGTTTTCAGGCAAGGAAACCACAATCCTCTTCTTTGCCTACCTTAACATGCAAAGTAGGTTTCTAATAAATTATCTTTCTTTTGAATAAAACAGTAAGAAGAGATCAATCACTGAGTGTTGTTTGAGAGCAGCAGCCCAAGAAGAAGAAGAAGCCCAGCACTAGTAAGAGAAAGTTGACAGTTTTGGTACAGCATCCATGCCTCATGTCAAGAAATGCTTCTGACAGCAGGCTAGGGTAGGGAGGAATGGGATCTTGCTGCGAGCTGCTGAAGGGAGCTGGCTCGAAATGTGCTGAGAAACACCAGCATATGGACTGCAGGCAGGCTGCTGGCCACCGGGCAGTGGGTGCTGCCTGTGTGGAAGTTGCTGCGCTTCTTGCTTTGGGTCTTCTGCAGCAGGTTAGATAAAGGGGAGAGCTGTGTGGGAAAGCCACACATTCACAGCAGCTAGTGCTGGGAAACAGCGCGTGGGGGAGAAAGAAGGGAAAGGAACTGGGAGGAATTGGAAACCGAAAAGGCAGCTTGGGAGGTGCCAGAGAACCAGTGGAGGATGAGTGCACCCATGCAGCTGGACTGCTGCTGGACATGTACTCAGTTGACTTTGAGCTGGGAGATGGCTCACTGACCTGGGCTGTGGGGAAGAGGCAGGGAGGGTTTGCAGGTAGTGAACAACGCAGGGTGAACATTCCTTAGAAAAGCAATAGTGTGGGTAGGAAAAGAAACCACGGGAAAATACTGCTGAAGCATGGGGAAGTTTCTGTGAATGTGGGCTGGGCAGAGCTGAAGGCTTTGTCCCAGGGGAGGAGGGAGAGCCCAAATCTCTTTGATTCCTCAAACTGCCCTTTGAGGGCTGTCCTTAGAACAGGGCCAGGATCTCAGGCTGCTGCACAAAGCATGGACGGGGCAGGGCTACAGCTAAAGGGAAACCTTCTTCTCCAATAGGTGATGTGAAGAGTCCCAGTGTCAGAGGGATTAGAGTTCCATCCCGCTCCTTAGTCACCAAGATTAGCACATTTCATAGAGACCGTGCACCAAATGATCTGGATTCGCAGGTATAGACTAGGGCCATCAGACCCCTAGAGATAACATTAGAAAGGGAGTGGCAGAGAGGGCAAGGACCAGCCCTGCATGCACACACACAGGGAATGAAAGAGCTACACCAGCCCTGTAGTTGTCCCCAAACCCCTTTTGGGTTATTTGGATCCTACAGTGAATTTAGCTGCACAGGGACTTAATAAAGTAAGCCTAGTAATAAAGTAAGCCTGGTAATAAAGACAGCTTGTTAATAACCGAGCTTGGGGAAAGGAAAGGAATGAAGTCAGCAGATGAAAGCAAGGAAGCCATAAAAGACAAAATTGGCAAAGAGTGGCCATTCTCTGACCTCATTATCAGCAACCCTGGATAGCGTGCATATCCATCAGCCACATGGGGCTTGTCTGGGCAGGACTGGCAGCAAGTAATGGTGGTGAGATGCTGCTAAGTGCACAGGGAGGGTGCACACATACAAGCATACATGCACAACGGTAGCCCAGGGGAGGGCACACCTGGGAAGAGGCAGACTTCAGTGCCCTTGTCAAACCAAACCATTGCTGCAGCTCTACTGATGACTGACAGCTGCGGGCTCCCTACTGAATTGCCTCCCCCTCTGCATGGCTGCTCCTGTAACCAGCTGGCTGGGCAGGGACCTCCATGCTCCCCAGCCCGGTTGCAGTGGTCCCCAGCAGAGTGAGAAATGCACAGCTGTGTTGTGTACTCAGCTTCTCAAGGCGAGTACTGGGTAAAAGGAGCCAAAATAAGGCATGAAAATAAAGAGGTAGCAAATATAGCTTTATGTTTCACAGATCTCACCTCCACACCACATCCCCTGAGGCAGTTCTTAGAGGGACCCTTGGCACAGATGCCAGCTATGATAAATCCGTTAATGATGAGTTAAGTAGCTGTTCCAGGAATCAATCATCATTTAATTGCCCTGTCAGGCAAACACTCTGCCTTGCTTCCTGGGCTCATTAGCAGGTTGCGGCTGAGATGCATGTCCTCAGACTCCTGAGTGAGGTTAGCCCACCCCGACCAATGGCTTTCCCCTTCAGGATAGCACCTGGGGAAGTTGGTGCCCTCGGGGAGTGGTGCCCTCCTGCACTGCCATGCCCTGGCTGATCTGAGGGCAGGGAACAGTGTGAATGCCTGTTCCTGATACAGCTGATGTGATGCAGCATCACAGCCAGGTACAGGTGCCATATCCCTGGAACAGAGGTGGGCTTGCACCTGATGGAGTAGGAAAGCTTATGAGATATGTCAAGCACCCTTCCCAGACCTTCCTAGAAGCTCTCAGGAGGTGCTTTTAGGGCTTCTAACCAGAGGCCCAAGTCCTGCCAGGAGACAGTACCTCTGCCTCTGGACATCCAAGCTCAAGAGAAAACCAGCTTGCAAAGGCTGCTGAGAAGCAAAGGCAGAGCATCGCAAGGAGGGAAGTTGTCATTTTGGAAAGGCAATGGATGAAGGAGGATGAAGGAAAGGCATTGAAGGCTCATGGACATTGTGTCTGGCAGGGGCAGACCAAGTCCTCTCTCAGTCCCAGGAGCCCACACAGAAACATGGATACCTGACATGTCCCAGCCCTGAGCCCCACAGGGTGAAACACAGCTCAACAGGAGAAGGAATTGCTTTCATCAGCCCTGCAGACATGATTGCAGAAAGCAGTTTTGTTCTGGCAACACTCAAGCCCGTCTCTACATCGCTGCTCCTGCCTTGGGTACAGCACTGGTGTGCAGTGAGGGACTGTTCATCCCTGGGGTATAACAAAGCCTTCACCAGTCCTGGGACAGGTTGCTGTGGCAGGAGCATCAGATGAGGTGGCCGAGGGGTTGCAAAGGGCAGAGGGGTTGTGTGAATGAGGCAGCTCTCAGTGTGGGACAGGAGAGGAGGGTGGTGGGACATGACAGCCTCAATGAGGCTAGCAGAGGTGGTACACAGAGAAGCAAAAGAGCACGTTAGGTACAGCACTGGGAGGGGAAATGGTGGGTAAGAAGCACAGTGACATCTGAGCCAGGCAGAGAGCTGGACCCTGGCAACCAAGATGAAGAAGAAAAGGACTATGAAGCTGCTGGAGGGGAAAGAATTGGTGAGGACCAAGAGAGAAAGAAGAAGGTGACACAGAGCCTGTGGACATGGATTAGAGGAAGAATAGCTGACGCATTTGTGATGTAGAGCACCTGATTCACAACTTTGATGCAGCCCATTTGATAGAGCTGGAAAGGAGTGAA